TATGCGGCTCCAGATGTCTTACTGAGGGACGACTGCGTGTGCAAGATGTCGGTAGCTTGAGGAATGAATCCCCTCTACTATATACTGTTAAAGTTCTAGTTACATATCAGTATATTGATAAATCTTATCTGAGATCTCCTACATCCTCTATGTATAACGTGTTACTGATGTTGGTTTGCCGCGTTCAGAGGTTCCACCGTGCCCTGAAAACCAAACCGGCCAGACGCGTCAACACCGCTACCTTCCTGCGGAACATCGGTATCTCCGGGCTCACAGGCAACCTCGGAAGGTAGGGCGGTACAGAGGAAATGTCGTTAAAAATGATAGTTTATTGTTACTACAGAATTCTTTCAGAAGTGACAAGTTTTTTTAAGGATAAGAATACTAACCTCCAAATTTTCGATAAGTATCAGTCCATCTTGTTCACGGAGTAGCCTAGTCTCGCAAGAGCAAGTCTCGGGCCTAGTCTCGTGCTCTCGCCACTCTGTAAACAAGATGGACGGTAGTCTTACTCTTTGAAAACTTGTCATTGCTGAAAGAATTTTCTAGTAACTGTAACTATAGGTGACAAATCATTCTCTTCAACGATGAAAGTTTATTGCATGTTCCTGCCCGTAGGATAATTGCAAGCACATGAAAATAAAGGATAGACAACGAATAACAATATAGTATGTACTCTAACTACTTAACGCTAGATTCCTTTTCTGAGACAGTGGATCCCACTTTTTCTGTAATGTGTCAATTTTGTGATGTTAAGAGGAGAGTAGTTTTCTTTCTTGTCTGTAAACGTGGAGAACTATAGCAGTAATAAGATATAACATACTATCCTCATTTTTCCCAGGCCGCCATCTTCTTTTCGAGACAGCCGTGCGGAGGAGGAGTTCTACGACTTTTATAAGATTCTCAGCGACACTTCCAAGACGCCGCTCAACAATGTCAATATTCAGAAACTCAGTACAATTGTCTCCAGACTAAACAGTACCCAACAGTCGAACATCGCCATCCAAACCGATGACGTAGAAGACATTGTCAACCATCAACTGAGAGACATAGACGCCAACATTCAACTGCGCCTGCGCGTCTTCGAACGGGACCTACATGACATGCGCGAGCGTCTTGCGCAGGCGCTGAGAGAGAAAGAGGAGCTACTGCGCAGACTCGCCGTCCTGGAGAACCCCAGCGCGCGTGCGCAGATGGAGGCGCCTCTGGTGAACGGCTCTCCGGTGGTGATTCGGTGTATCTGCGGCTGCGCGGAGTGTAACGTCTGCAACAGAAAAATCACGATGTTTGAGAACGATCAGAATTTGTTCAATCAGAACCCAAACGAGCACACAACATGCGACGAGTAACATCCTATATTTCAGCCTTTAAATTGGCAAAGAATTGAAGCCATTTGAACCAAAAACCAAGGACTTTCCCTCGACGCAAGTGGAGAATTAATTCCACTGAAGGGACAAGCGGAGTGCTTCAAGTAGCCTTGCGACATTTCGTTTCATGTCACTTATTGTGTCACCTCTTGAATGGGAACAACGCGACTCGGGTTACGAATGTTTCGTCGCAACCAGGAAAGCCTTACGCTCAGCATTGGATTTACCATTAACGAGAAGGAACTGTCATTCGTGGATTCGTCGCTAGGGGACGCCACATGACCGTGTAGGGTAACCACTATGTTTGACTACTCGGAGTTACTACTTACTAGTGGACAGTTGCAACAACACATACGCATTGACAAGCCACCTATATTGGATACATGCCTGGCTACTCGCGCCACCTAGCGGTATCTATCGCCTTTACAGTGCTGTGGTAAGTTGAGGACTTGAGCTCAAGTTTACCAATCGTCTCTATCTGGAGATACAGGTAGGTTCCTAACACTTGTCAATAATGTACAAATGTATAAGAGAGATTTAAAAGACTGTACATTTCTTGTAAAGACGCCGCAAGCAAGACTTTTAACTCTTTGACTTCAAGACGATATCGCCAAAGTTGTCTTTCCCTTGCTGAAAGAAAGATATTGATGAAGATTAAAAAGTGGCTTTGGTCGTAATACATAGCTGCTTTGACTGGTTAGACAATTCGGTTGGCAAGTTATTGGCGATGTCATTCTTAAACATTTGAACGTTAGATATAGGAACGAATGTTGTGTTTCCTGTTTCCCGACCGAACCTAGAAAAACCTACCGACCCTAGCCTTTTTTTCGTAATTTTTCGAGCCTTTTCTAGCTCCATGATCTGACATGTGAGTGATGAAACCTTGTATAATCAATTTTTTTTAACATTGACATTAAAATGAAAGTGTCCTCATGCAAGTTTGACTTTGTTAAACTGTATCGTATAAGTTGAATCAATAGAGATCGCCAAAGTCAAGAAAAAGGGAAGAAGAGAAGACAATTGCTACCCTAATTTTTTCAGGGATCGAAACAGGAAACACAACATTTGTCAAGGCCTTACGCTTAATGCTCAATCAAAAGAGTAAGAATCTTATTAATGAAAATAAGTATTTCAATGACCACACAGTTCACATTTTTCTGAAAAGGCCACATAATTATAAATGGGACACTAAATAATGAAACCAGCTTTTTTGTTGGTCAAATTTCATTACTGCATACTTGGACTGTGGGACACAACGACTTATCTATGCTGAAGTTAGACGTTTTGTGCTGGCAAAGAATCAGTTCCACCTTGTATATTAAGAGATCTGTACTGATATATTTTCGCCTTGTACGATAACTCTGGCAAGCTTCAATGCTCTAGACTGTTGGGAACTATGTATCAATGAATACATGTATCTAACGCTGACCACGAACGGTAGTGGTTGAACAAAAACAGACATTCACCAGTTTACCAACCCCAGAATGCAAAGCGGAAACAGGGGGCTAACCCTCATTTGCATAGGGCAGGAAGGCATCGGAATGATCCTGTTGACGTTAAACAACTTGTTTTCCACTGTGTTTTTTGGTGTGTTTTGAGCTATTTTATGCTCAACGTTAATTAAATTACTATGGGTTGAACCTGACAACAAATAGAGAATGATTTTTTTTTTTGAATATGTGGTTTGTAACGTTATAGTGGTAACGTTATACTGAAGCTGTAATGTTACAAACCACATGTTCCATGTTGAAAAGAACACAAAATCTTCATTTTCTATTTGTTATCAGATCCAACCCATAGTAATTTAATTAATGTTGAGCATAAAATCCCCCAACACCTCAAAACACAGTGAAAAGCAAGCTGTTTAACGTCAACACGATCATTCCGATGCCTTCCTGTCCTATGCAAATAAGGCTTAGCCCCCTGTTTTCGCAATGCATTCTGGGGATGGGTAACTGGTGAAGGTATAACGTAGTCCGACACTTACTCAGTCAAGTAGCATGCAATATTACTGTAGACTATGTAAGTAAAGGATAATAATCATAGGCCTTAGAAAAATCTGTGACGAAGTTTATTGTCATCTGACTCTACAGCAGTTCATATCAATGCGCCGGTCTAACGTAGATATGTAAATGAGCATTTCAGAAGTGTACATGTACATAAACGTATAAAGTTATAGAGACACGTCGTATGGCACCACGTTTCATTTGCTTCCGGGTGACATTTTCTTATAACTTGTGGGAAAAGAAACTTACTGTGGGAATCACTGGAAGACAGACGAAGAATGGCCATACATGATGTACAAAATGACTAATAAACTGGTGGACGTACCAACCACCATGTATCTGATACCAGCCCAGACAAGAACAAGAAACAGTCATGCCTTCAAATATCAGAGTTATCAACCAAGAATTGAGGTGTTCAAAAACTCGTATTTCCAAAAAACTATCGTAGACTGGAACTCGTTGCCACCAAGCAGAGTTGGGGCATCATCACTAGAAAGCTTTAAACAACTCCTGCAATTAAATGTGCAAAGATTGAGTGTAACAAGTTGTTCGGTGTGATATAGCTAGCTGCTGCCGCACCGCGTGCCTGCGAAGCTGGTGTGTTACGCCGAAGGGTGATTATACCGGCTATACTGATACAGATACAGAAATTATAACTGTTACAAGTATTTTTCATCAAAGGGAAAGACAATGTTGTAATATTTTCTTTTCACTTCTTCTTCTGAGCGCAAGAGGCGGCCTCTCTGTTAGAAAATTTCGTCAAAAAGTAGTGAGGTCGTATGGTCGTGGATTGTGTGGCGTAACAGAGCATTCGGCTCGCAACCAAGAGGTTCCGAGTTCGAATCCTGCCATGCCACCGATCTTGTGCCCTTGGAAAAGGCACTTTAGACGGACTTCTTCACTTTACTCAGATGAAAATGAGTATGTCTGTTGTCCATTCATCCATTTGTCTGCGTTGGTGGTGGCATAAAAATAAGTTTAAAAAATGAATGTTGGAATAGAAAAGAAATCGTCGTCACCACCCCTGTCCTTGGTGCTGAAATCTCCATCAGGGATGTTGTATGACATGAAATCACTGTTTTACAAGGGTTATAGACCGTTAAACTGTTATCTAAGATAATAGAGTATTTAAACGGCACAAAGTACTGTATCTTTTGTTTGTTTGTTTGTTTGTTTGTTTGTTTGTTTGTTTATTGAGATCTCCATTAGTATGGTAAATTCCATACTATTCTTCCTAGCAACATAAAAAAAGATAACAATAATGATAATAATGATTACATTTAGCAATAATGATAATAAATAAAACATACAAACTTATGCTGAAATTATGACAAACTTCAAACAAAATCAGCATAGAGAAATAAAAGTGCATTGGAGGTCAGAGGTCAAATAATAGAAATAATATTTTGTATGAAATGAAAGTAATAATTGATGTACTTTCCAATCAATGGAAAATTGAAGTAACAAGACAGTAAACAAATACTTGAACTGACACAAATAATAACAAACTATAAAAAACTCAAATGAACAGGCTGCTATATGAATATTCGCGCTCGCCCAGCTTCAGCACGATAAAGATGTTTGCCGTCCATAGAGAAAAGAAGAGAAACCCTTAGCCTTAAGTTTGCAAAGTCCCTCCTTAACTCCCCTTCGTTCCGGCATTGGTTACCCCCATCCCGCTCAGATATCCATGGCAGATGCCTGAAGGGGGCAAACCAACTCGACATCCCTTTGACGAAAACAAAGCGGTACAAAACGAGCCCAATCCCCTATTTCACTGATTTGTTAAATAAACAAGCAGACCTAGGTTGAAATCTCCCAGTACCGGACCAATATTGTTTTTAATCACTTATATATCTAATTTATAACTGCGTACAGCTAGTATTTGTTTAAGTTGTTTGTACCTAGTTTGTCAATGTCCTTTGTTTGTTTAGCCCACCTTATTGTTTAATTGTTTTTAAACCTGTGTACGCAATTCAGCGGTTTAAACGCTGCCATGTACAAGGATTGTTGTCAATAATAAACTATTAAGATGGTAAGAGAATTGACATTGTTACGACATGTTACGACATTTTTGGACTAACACCACAACTTAAAAGTGTACTTTATCCCTGCCTTGAAACGAAGGGGTTGAGACGCTTACCACTTCTCAGCTGCTTTCTTAATGATTAGAACCCCTATCATGTCTTGGACCCCCCCCCCACGCCTTGGACCCTCCCTCTACCACGTATTGGACCCCCCCCCCCTATGTCAATCACCCCCCTCTTCTATCTCGTCCAGTGAAACCCACACGTGGTCCAATCGATGCGCGTTATATTTTCAACCTGCAGGGAACAATCGACATCATTCCGACGTGTCGTGGAAATTATGTTCTGCGCTTGTATAGTGTTAAACCTTTAGATCCAACGCAAAAAAAGTTCTCTCATCTAGAACTTTCGACCAGTCACTCTGGTATTGTGGCGTCGTGTGGTGTATGAATATGAAACGGGGAGACCCGGGTTCGATTCTGGGTCGTACCCGAACAAGTCCGAACATGCGCCCCGACGTTGTACCCTTGGGAAAGGTACTTAACACGAATTTCCTCACTTCACTCAGGTGAAAATGAGTACCTAGCTTTGGCTAGGGACGTCCCTCGGATAGGACGTTAAATGGAGGTCCCGTGTTTGGTGGAGCCACACCCCACGCACGTTAAAGAACCCACCGCACTTATCAAAAAGAGTAGGGGACCTTCCCGGTGTGAGTGGTTCAAACCTTATAGTCTTGTCTCGGGGTTGGCATCTTTGAAAAGGTGATAGTCACCTGTTATGTCAATCCTTCCACAAATGTGGTAAATCTTCATAAATAAATAAATAAATAAAAGTATTCCTCAGTAGACTGACCCAGTACGCGGTGAGGCTTGTCACGTCTACTGAGGAAGACCAGAGTAACTGGTCGAAAGCTCTAGGTGAGAGAACGTCTTTGTGTTGGATCTAAAGT